CAAGTGCTTAAAGAATTCGTCGGTCCTTTTAGGTCCTGGATAGCTCGGTGGTAAGAGCAGTCACCCGGATTGCAAAAGGTCACGGGTTCGAGTCCCATCTCAGAGTAGCAGGGACAAAGTAGAATTATTAAGCATTTTTCATTATTTATTTATTTATTCTTTTATTGCATTAAAAAAACACAAATGGCGGACTTTTTGTCAAATGCATTATCTACAAGTCTACCAAAACAAGATGATGCTAGTTTGGATGTTGGGCGATAAGAATAAAACAGAAGCCAAAAAATTATTTCATCAAAAAAATATCAAAATCATATCAACTACATAGCTTAAAATACACCTAAAAATTAATCATTACTACATAAATAAATAAAAAAACCTTATAAATCCTACTAATATTATAAATGCCAAAGTTTGTGAGGACGGATTGTATGTTTTGTTATTCTTTCACGAGAAAACTGCTGGACGGATTTTGATGAAATTTAGCTTACGCATACTTTTGAGTGTGGATTAACATTTAGGCAACTTTTTATCTCACTAAACAGTTCCCTAGGAACCACATGGGCGACGCCGCTGGCGAAAGCTAGTCCTATAAACACCTTAACAAATATATATGAACATAGACATACATAAAAAAATACATTACATAACGCATATGAGAATAATCAAATCAAATCAAAAACGTTTAATCAGTCTAGGCTTATACATAGCACTTGTGAAAGTCGTAAACTACACCAACGGTTCGCAAAACTACGGCGGGAAACCTTGAATTGAGAAGAACCGGCCTGAAACTCAGCAAGGGCTGCTTTTTTCTCCCTATTTTATTTCACACAAGGAAGTCTTATTGGAAAGTGACTTCATTAGAGTATGAAGTCACTTTCCATTCGGAAATAGTGCTCATGCACCTCTATAAAACCATTCTTCTCTGATCAGTTTTAATACGAGGTGAAAGAGTATTCCAAAGACGGATAGCTGTCAGGGTAAAGGATTTGGAAACAAAATCAGTACGCTGAACAAGAGTTTGGAAAATAAGGTTGCTAAGAGCGAAGATCACGTTGATGAGTGGAACCAAGATATTGAAATGTAGACATCAGATATCATGGATCATATAGGATGGTGAAAAGCCTACGGACAACTCGCAGATTCCTGCGTTGGTGAACAGAAAACCATTGAAGTTGTTTCGTATAATCAGAGATGCGATCGTATTTACCAAGGTATATGAACCGAATAGAGTTATCGAGCAAACGATCCAATTTCTTGAGAAGAGATTGATTAGTGTCAGAATTGCAGACATAAGCATAATCGAGAAGCGGGAAAAAAACAGACTGCAGCTATGCAATTTAGTGCTGTGTGGGAGAAATAATTTCAATCTATAAAGTGACCTAAGCGTATTGAGAACTTTACGACACACTTCAGCAACCTGCACCTCCCAGCTGAGAGAACAATCAATATAGAGGCCTAAATTTTTAACACTCTATTCCAATGGAATGATTTTTCCATTATTAAGCAAAGGAATAACGATGTTCATATCAATAACCAACAATTCTCGTGAACTGCCTATAATAATGCCATGATACTTTGTTATATTTCTGTCACACCGTAAATGTTTGAGCACTCCGAAATACTTATGAGATCTTGATTGAGACACAGAATAGTGTCATTATTTAGTATGACTTTTGTCTGCCTGAGCATATATCTGGAGATCGTCTGCATATAGATGACAAGAAGATCGAAGTTGAATAGTAAGAGTTAATAAATAACGTTAAAAGAAGGGGAGAAAGTAAGCCAAGTCAAGCCAATCATGAAATTTTCTGATTAGCTCGCACAACCTGTCGGCGTGCACGAAGTTACGACGGGAACCATGCCCGAGGTGAAATAGAAAGTTCAACGTAAATAAGGATGGCGAGAAGAGTCTCATGGTTAACAGAAGTGAAGACGTTAGAGACGGCACTATCGATTGAAGTATCAGTGTTTAAGTTCTAAAACAGGAGATATTAATATGCTGATGATGCCTCAGCAGCGGAGCTGGGTGTGTCGGATGAGGTCACAAACGGTTGACAAATTCGAAAAAAGGCCTTCTCACACACTTTAAAAAAATTACAGTTTAAAAAAAGACCTATCCAGCGATGCCCCACACTATGGAGAAGACACCGAGATAAAGAAATCATCACCTTTAAATGTATCCTAAAAAAATTATATTCAAAATTTCACTTTACCACTTTGTCGGCGTAATTAACCTATCTTATACCAATTTACAACTTTTTAGGATTTATAGTTTTGAGCTAATCGCGGCCGAACATGACGAAACTGTTAAAGGTTGATTGTTCAATACGAAACCCTAAAAAATGTTACCTCGGCAGAGAGTCGCACGGGCTCCATGTCCCCGGCGGCGAGGCAGTTGTCGGCGCGCGCGTGCGCCCGCAGCAGCCCGCGCGCGCAGTACAACCGCATGCTGTTCAACTCCTGCTGGAACTTCTGGTGCATCGCTGCCAATGCACAATAATAACCATCATCACAACAGCCCGTAACAGTCCACTGAGGGGCTCCAGGCTCGGATCTAGGGGAGGAGCAAGTGGGGCATTTGCCCCGGGCGCCAGTGTTAGGGGGGGCGCCAAAAACATCATTATATAGTTAACAAAAGAACGACCTTCACAAATCTCTTAATATAAGCTACAATGGGACTGAAATTATTTACCTAATAAATACCTTAATGAAGTAAGAGAAAAATATCAGTCACTGTAAAAATATGATAATATAAAATTAGGGGGGAGAATAGGAAGGACGCCTAAGTTTCTGCCAAGGTTAAAAAAAAATCATCCCTCCGCGTTAGTAAAGGGTTTGAAGTGAAGGGCCAAATTATTCTTCTTTACATCAGAATATTATTAACATAAATATTTAAAAAAATGACCTTACACTTTTTTATTAAATTTTAAGTTTCAAATGTTAAGTTAAGATTAGATGCTTAATATTTGCCAGCAACATATTTATGACAACAGTACCCAATGAGATTTTATTTTGCAAATATTTGAAAACAAAACCTAGAAACATTGTCATAAGTTTAAGATGTAAAATAACACAAATGCTTGGAGTAGACAAATTCTTAACTTTGTAATTTCGCATAAATAAATAAAAGGTCATTTAAAACTTATATTCAAAACAGCGTTTTATTTAATTCGCAACTGCAGGATTGAGGGCCTCCTCCACGTTAGTGAAGGGTTTTTCTCCAGGCTTGACAGGCGGGTTGGAGATCGCAGTATCAAAAATATGGTTTTAACAGAAATCGCACAAAACAAATGCACAATCTCTGGTTAGTGTGTAATCACGACATTCGCGGGAAGAGTAGGGGTGGTAACAATTTTATTGTATTACAATTGTATTCTGCCGTCACCACAGAGCACCACAATCACAGTACATATAAGTGATTACGGCACACTGACATTTGTAACTGAACCCAAAGATATAAAATTGCAAAAACCGTGTCAACTTCATATTTAATAATAAAGAAAAGACCGACAGAGCACATTAGAAAATATATCTTATTGCTTCTTGATAAAGTCGTGTCAAAACTAATAATAAAGTTAAGCGAATCTAAAAAATATTTAACGAACTTTTTTTTTTGCTGTCAGTATTAAACTAATTTGCTGTCAGTATTAAACTAAATGACAGCTAAGCCGTTAAGTTGGTTACTAATTCGCTTCTATTCTCATTTTACGCGCATAGTAAATTCTTTAAAAACTAGAGCATTAACAATTACGTTGAGTAAATTGTCATGTCTCTCGACTGCAAGAACCGTTGACAATTTGGTATAAATAATTCAAAAAAATATATTACCTTGAGATAATATATTACCATGATTTTTAAGGGAAAATTAGCCTCGTATATTTAGAAAGAAAAATGATAAAATGTATGCTCTTTGGAAACGGAACAGCGCAATAAGTATTTGTATGTGGATTGATATTAAAATAGTAACCAATGTAATATAATACAATATACTTTAAAGCTGATGAGCATAAATAAATAAGAGTGACAAATAAGAAGCTGAAAGACATTATTTATTGTAGGTATATGGAAAAGAAAGAATTTCTAGAAATAGCAGTTTAGACCATAGACAAACATTTCTCCTATTATTTCAGTATCATAAACTTTATTCAACGATGCTTATAATGAGTGCATCTCGCTCACCGATTGGATTCTCTCTTTCACGCACAGGACTGCTCAAGAAATAACTTTGATTTCTTGGGAATGAGCCACGGCTTCTGCCCTGTAGGCGTGGTGAGAGATGCGTCCACACTGGCGGCATGCGCATTGAAGTCCGCCGTTCTTTTTAAAATCTTCAACATCAAGTTTCCAGCTGGAAGCCATAAACAAGTCTCTTTATTGGTAAATTATAGCTTATAGCACCCGCATAAGATTTAATTTCCCGTACGCATAAGAATTTTCATGATTGGGTCAGTATTTACGAAGATCGAAGAGGACAACCAAACAAAGTGAGAAACTTTACATCCTCATCTTAGTGTAGATTTGTTTCACATATTAATTTTCAAGATCTTTTGAACGATTATCTTTTAAAGTAGGTACTTACTACGTGTGATCGTTACAAAGACGTGTTCCTCTTGACCTAGTTGGCCAAACTTCATAACAGAAACAACATCTGGAATTAAGACAAAAATATAAATTTTACTTCACTGTTTATATATGTATATCGTCATGTGGTTCGGATCTTTACGTTCCCTAAAATATGGTTGAGCGAAGCGATGGCTGGCCCAAGTGTCATGCTCGTGAACGGGTACTGCTAGTCTTTGATTTATTAGTTTTCTATATTAACTGGAAAGATAACTATATAACTCCCAACCTTGTAGCAACTGTGATTCGGTAGTCAACATTGTAAAGGCCAGTTGTCACCATTTGGTATGGTGTTCTTTTAACCCCACACAGCTTAGCCTATATGCAACCAATGAAAATTTCAGTTCACTTCTTGCCTGTATACTGTGAAAGCAGAATAGAAAACAAATTTAACTTACTATTGACAATTGATTAAATGTCTGCGAATCCAGCACTATCACCTCTCCATCTTCAGTGCCAACAACCAAGCAGCTTACAGAGTGCCGTTCAACTGAATGCATTTTCATAGTTGTAATGCAAGCCACTTCTGGTAATTTCTTTGGTGGTAAGTCGGTCAACTGTTCCACATACTCCAGCTGCTGGTCTAAGGTCATAGAGAGGAAATTACGTGACTGCAAACTGAGTACTTTGTGAGGTACCGCTTTCAGATTCTCTGTGAGAATTGGTAATACTTCTTCATTGTGGTTTTGAGGGTCCAATATCTGAAATAGACAAAATAAATCTCAATAAACCCAGAGTGAGCCAACATATACTGGAAGCTTTGTCCATAGTATTAAAGCAACATTTTAGATAAAATAATGTTTCTTTTTAGATTTTTTGCATATTCTATTAAACCAAAAATTTATAGTTCCTCTCGGTTTTCTCTCCATTTTTATACAGGTTGAGTTTTAATTTTGTGTTTGTTTCCAGAACATTTTTTTTTTATTAAATTAATATGATGATGGTAAGTGTTAAAAATGATATCATACATGTGAATCCAAGGTTATGAGGTGACCATACATTAATTACATTGGTGAATTAAAACAATTAAAAATTAAATATATATGTATATAATTTATATGATACCTGCTTCCAAATCTCTGATTCACTAGTACTTAAATCAACTGATGGTAAATAATATTTGTAGAAAAGTTTCATGTTTTTGAATATGTGTATGCATGAACTAAATGCAACAGCTATCACGGGCTGATTTCTAGGAACAGAGTCACTAGAATAAAATCCAACGACCCCGAGCGGTATGTCTGGTAGGGCCATGTCTAATAACTGCATAGCTCCTCTAAAGACCTGAAAAAATAAAAACTTTTCTTATAATTTTTCACCTACACAAAAACATGGCATAAACCCATTGATAGTCATAATCTATGCTGTTACATGCATTTGCGAAAGTCGAAAGTATATGCCATCGGTTTTTAAATATACACTGGGAGACCTTACATGGAAAAGAACCAACAAGAAAGCCAAAGAGTTTCAAAACTGATTGTAAACCTTCAATAAAGACAACCATACATTAATTTAGCTTAGTGTATGTGTTTAGTCACTACATAGTATCGAACAAAGTCGCTTTCTCTGTCACTATATTCCTATGTATGCTTAAATCTTTAAAACTATGCAGGGGATATTGATGCGGTATTTTTTCATAAATAGTGGTTTAAATGGAAGGTTTTTATATATAATACGAGACCACGCGGGCGAATTTGCTGGTGGAAAGCTAGTATATTTTATAAATCATCTCAAAAAATTTTTGTTATTACCTTAAGCTTTGGACCCTCTTCACCTTTACCTAAATCACCAATAAGCAATTTATACTCGTTATCATTGTGAAGATCAACGAGGGCGACGTTCGACGGCAAAGTATTTAATTCTGTATCATCATTGCCAACTTCAACGTCCAGCCAACGCGTCGTATTGGTCATTTCAATAATAATAACAGTAATACCAAAAAGTAACAGGAATATAATATAGAAGCATATAATAATGTACTTTGTGAGAACTATACAAGAATAAGGTCACTTAATTTAAGATTAATTTGCAGCTCGATGCAAAACAGCGGTTAAGATTAAGCACTCTTTCTCGCAGCTGTATATACTAACTTACGTTGCTATGGCAACTGGATAATGGATGACATTAGTTTTTTTAATTCCTATAGTTACTAAGGGATTTGTTGACTATGTAACAACAAATAAATTATTTCTTTTCTATCTATTGTTATATTTTATGCTATACTTACTTTAATTACCTTAAAAATGCTACTCATTTATAATATTTCATAATAATAAATTATAAATTATCTATTCTTCTGATATTTATTTAAATGTGTTACTTCAAAATAAATTAAATAAAAAAAAGTATTTAAAAAATAAAAATTAATTCATACTTTTTCGTATTTTTTATTGATGTCTAAGTGTCGAACTTTTTAAATTTCAGTTTTTTAATATATCAGTTAAAAGGAACGGAAATTACTGTCATTGAAACTAATGGACGTTTCCTGCAAAAATCAACTTTTGCTAGAGTCGCCATCTAGTGAAGGTGCTTATTTAGTGCTTTCGTTTTTTTTTAATACTTCCTTATTCATGGTTTAAAATGTTGCTAGCTAACTGTACCCGTAAAACTGATAATTTATTGTTTTTGTGAGTTTGAAACTGATCATTTATTTATTTTATTAAATACTTTATAAACTTTATTATTTTACTCATTATTTTGGAATTTCAATAGGGTATTTGATACTATTAAAAATTAAATTGCGTATTATGTTCATTCTGTTAGATAATAATCTAATAGAGATTATTTTTTAAAATCACGTTAAAACAGTTTTATTAAAGATACGCGAAGTGTGTATTTATACACATTTGTAGCTCATTTTTACAAACAAAACCAAAGTAGATACAAAAGCAAAACATAAAATTAAACTTCAATTTCTCTACTGTGCTAATATTTGTTTACTTCGTAAATAAATAGTTGATTAATAGGTTATATAGCTTTGACATATTTATCGGTGTGTGACGTCACAAATACCACGTAATCAGCGCCATTACATAGAACAGCGTTTTTTGAGCTATTTGAAGCTTTAACAAAATATTTTCATCGAAAATAGAACAGATTCTCATAAGATATATTGACAGTGTGTTTATAATCAAACAAGTATTTAAAATAAATTTCAGATAAGTGTCAAATACCCAATCGATTGCAGTCGCTTAAAAGATTCAAAAAACTAAATGTCATTTACAGTGACGATCAGTTTTTAACATGTTCTAAAAAACTATTATGAAACAATGCATAAGCAGCCTGACAGATGATATAATTGGCGCGCGCTTACCGTCGCATACATCATAAAATTGTTGTCGTCCCAATTTAAATCTTAAAATAGTTATAAAGTATCTTCCTGTGTCATTACTATACAGGTGTATAAAGTGCTTGAATCAATGATTCTATTGTTGATATTAGTTTTCGTATCGCAAGATAAAAAAGCGTGTAAAGTTTAAAGACAGTTACAAATAAAAATCGACCGTGTACTTCTCAGTGACCTTGTTATCGAGCTCGGTCATCAGTTATTATAACCGGCCGAGTGTTGTTGTCGTTTGTGTTCGTTCAAGACAGTGGAAAGAAAAGCAATATACTTATAATAAATACCTATTCTTAATGGAAATATTGATCAAGTATAATATTAGAAAGTATTCAAGTGTTGTGCATACCAGACATCTACCCGCATTTACATTAAGTTATTCTGAAAAATAAGAAATAATATATATTTGCTATATTTTAACTATATAAATATATTTGCAAAAATGAAGTGTAGTGCCTGCAGCTGTAACGTTACCCGCGACGAGTCGCTGAAGTGTGTTTCGTGCAATGGGTTATGCCACTATCAATGTTTGGGCATTTCAAAGGCTCAATTTATGAAGAAAATACACAATCATCGTCGTGACTGGCAGTGTCCTTCTTGTTCAAACGTTACGCGACGAAGGGATGACGGTACCCCCCGTTCGAGGTGATTCTGCAGCGGCATCGCCTCCACAAGGAAATGATGACACAATGATGTCGTGTGATGAACCCCATGATGAACATACTACTACTGTAACCATCTCGAAAATTAACAATACATCTACAATTTCTTATACTCAGTTTGGGGAGTTACTGGACTCGAAACTAAATAGTATTAAACAAGATTTGAAAAATACAATCAAAAATGAATTTAATGCAGCCCTTGAGAAACTAAAAAATGAACTCACACAGTCTATTGAGTTTATATCGGCTGATCAAATTGATATTAAAAAGAACCTTACTGCTGCTGAAAGTCGTATTAAATGTTTAGAACAGGAGAAATCAAAGCTGCAAGATGATGTTCTGTATATGGAGCGTAGACTTGGTTCGTTAGAGAAGATCTCACGGAGTCATAACCTGGAGATTCACTCTGTTCCTGAGAAGGCTAAAGAAGATTTGCCTGCTTTGTTCAAGAGGATGTGCGATGAGTTGAAAGTATCATATTCCGACTCAGTTATGATCAGGAGAATATCAAAAGTTAATAGAACCTCAGATAGACCACGTAATATTTTAGTGACGTTGCCATCAGAGCGTCATAGGGATAATGTAATGGCGGCTTTCAGAAATTACAATAAGCTGAATTCTAAGTGTCATTTAAATTCTACCCACCTGGGAATCCCTGGAGATTCAAAAAGAGTCTACATAGCTGAGCACTTATCACCAGAATGCAAGGAGTTGTATGCTGCTACTAGGAAACTTGTTAAAGAGAAAGATTACAAATTTGTGTGGGTAAAGTATGGACGTATCTTCATCCGCAAAAACGAATCCTCTAGTCCAATTTACATCAGAAACCAACTCGTTTTGAACAGCATAAAGTAATTAGTTGTTGTATAATTTGAGATAAAGCAGGTAATTTTGTCAAAGAACAACAAGAATGGTCATTGTAGTAAAGGTACTTGAATATTATAATCATTGTCATTATTTTAGTATTGAAGTGTATATGATAATTATTTGTAACTATATAATTGTTTTGCGATATTTGAATATTTTTTGTAAAATAACAAGTTTTCAAATGGATCCTAGTACTTACAACTATATAAATATAAAGCCATTGAAGGAATTATTTTTATTTTGGGCTGTATGGTTTGTGTGCTCACTTAATTCATATAATGTCAATAGAATTTTCTTAGAAAGATTTTTCTTAAATGAACTAATCAAAACCTACTTTATACTAGTATCATACAATAGTGTAATGAAACGTATAACGAAGTATTTAACTTTTATTTATATCATAATTTTGAAATACAGTCGTGCCATATTGCTGAGAGGTAATTGGATAGTTCAGAGGATACCATTTTTTGATTGTGTGAAATTCTATGAACTGGATTGTGAATTGTTCGGGAATTGTACTTATAGCTGTAAACCATTTAAGGATTTTTATTTATTTGTTTATTTATTTTGGTTTGTGTGCTCACTTAACTCATATAATATCAATGGAATTTTACTGGAAAGATTTTTCTTAAATAAATTAATCAAAACCTACTCTATACGAGTATCATTTAATAATGTAATGAGACGTATAACAAAGTATTTAACTTTGATTTATATCATAATTTTGAAATATAGTCGTGCCATATTGTTGAGAGGTAATTGTAAAGTTAGAAAGATGCCAATTTTTGATTGTGTCGAATTTTATAAACTGGATTGTGAATTGTTCTGGAATTTTACTTATAGCTGTAAACCATTTAAGGAACTATATTTATTTGTTTATTTATTTAGGTTTGTGTGCTCTCTTAATTCATATAATATCAATGGAATTTTACTAGAAAGATTTTTCTTAAATAAATTAATCAAAACCTACTCTATACTAGTATCATATAATAATGTAATGAGACGGATAACAAAGTATTTAACTTTGATTTATATCATAATTCTGAAATATAGTCGTGCCATATTGTTGAGAGGTAATTGTAAAGTTGGAAGGATATCACTTTTTGTTTGTGTTGAATTTTATAAACTGGATTATGAATTGTTCCTGAATTGTACTTATAGCCGTAAACCATTTAAGGAATTATATTTATTTGTTTATTTATTTTGGTTTGTGTGCTCTCTTAATTCATATAACATCAATGGAATTTTCCTAGATAGATTTTTCTTAAATAAATTAATCAAAAAATACTTTAGTCAAGTGTTTTATAATAGTGTAATGCGACGTGTAAAAAATTATTTAACTTTGATTTATATCATAACTTTGAAATATAGTCGTGATATATTGTTGAGAGGTAATTGGAATGTTGAGAAGATATTATTTGTATTACTAAATGTCATTAACGTGTTTTTGCATTATGTCTTTGATTGTGTGAAATCTCATAAACAAGATTATGAATTATTCTGGAAATGTACTAGTGGCTGTGAGTTGTGCTACAGGGGTGAAGGCAGAGCTTTGATACTATCATCGCCTAGACTTTTCTGTACCATACACATTGGGGTACTGAAAAATATTTATTTCTATAAACAGTATCATTATATTGCAGCATTTCATTACAACATTTACTTACACATGCCAATGTTATACTGTCGGAAGACAGAATATACTATATGTTGGAAGAATTACCATCACTTCCTCTAATATTTTGATTGGTCACATTGATTAATGGTTTTTTTAAAACTGAGTTTGTTTAATGCAGGGTCACTTGGAACATCTCATGATGATTTGATAGCTGCAATTCTTGATTTGTCTCCTGATATTGTGGCTATCAATGAAACATGGCTAAATGAGGGACGGAATGATAAAGCTCCAGTGGTCCCCGGCTATCGCTTGAAACATATACCGCGACCTACCAACATGCGTAAAGGTCGTGGGGGAGGTGTAGGTTTTTATATTAGACATGGTCTAGTGACTCGTACTTTGGAACATCCGTCGGTAGGCATTGAACAGATGTGGCTGCGAATTTCTCTGCATGGCAACAGTCTTGTTGTTGGCACTGCTTACAGGCCTCAATGGCTGAATGTAGACACTTTCTTCGACGATCTTTTTGAAAGTGTGGTCTCTTTCTCCAATTATGATAATGTGGTGCTACTGGGTGACTTCAATATAAATTTATTGGATTCTGACGACATCAAAACAAGAAAACTTAACCAATTTCTCACAGTTGTTAATCTGATACAACATGTGTCGGAACCCACCCACTTCACAAGTGTTACATCAAGTTTGATAGATGTATTTTGTACTAATGTACACGTCAAAGACATCAATGTTTTGCATATTCCGGATTTGAACCGTCATGCAATTATTAGTGCTACCCTTAATCTTAAAAGAGTCAAGCTGCCTCCTCGAATTATAAAGTATAGGCCTTTGAAAGATATTAACATGCATAGTTTTGAGAGGGACCTTGTAGTACTAAGATGGGATCTAATCCATAATTCCAGTGATATCGATGATATGGTTGATATTTTTAATAATTTTGTTAAGGTGTTATTCGATTTCCATGCCTCAGAGAAAACAATAACAGTAAGGGACAGAAAGCCGCCTTGGATAACCACCAATGTTAGAAAAATGATGTCTTTGCGTAACTCAGCCCTTGCCAGATACCGTGCGGATGGTTTGGATACTAGTCGAAGACATTATAAAGACTTGAAATCTTTGGTAGCATCGGCATTGGCGAATGAAAAAAAAGCCTTTTTCAGTCAACAGATCAATAACTGTGCCCACCATCCTAAGGCTTTATGGAAAAATCTTAAACAAAATGTTATTTCAAGAAATGAAAAGGTTGAAGACTTGCCACTGATGTTTGTGGATGCAAATATAATTAATAAACATTTTCTTAATATACCTGGTAGTCATGTTTCTGATGCTTCGCTGTTGCAATATTTCGAGGAAAATAGGTTCCATGAAAATAGTTTTTGCTTGCGATCTGTTTCAGTGGATGATGTGGGAAAATTGTTGCTTGGGTTAAAATCAAATGCAAAAGGTTTAGACGGTATTAACTTGGATATGATATTGTTTACTTTACCGCATTCACTGCCATATATTACACACATTGTGAACAAGTCTATTTCTAGTAGTATATTTCCTAGCACTTGGAAAATGGCTAAGGTGAAACCACTCCCAAAGATATCTAATCCACAACAACTGAGCGATCTAAGACCGATTAGCATTCTTCCGTGCTTGTCTAAGGTGCTAGAAAAGGTGGTCTATCAGCAGGTAGTATCTTTTCTTGAGCGGTATAACATTCTGCCTGTTCATCAGTCTGGATTCAGAAGAGGTCGTGGAACTACGACTGCTTTATTGGATGTCATAGATAACATACTTGATGCGCAGAATAATGGCCAGGCTACCATACTTGTTCTCCTGGATTTTACGCGTGCCTTCGATTGTATTAATGTGTCGCTACTTCTGTCCAAACTTCGCTATTATGGATTTGACGAGAACACTGTCATGTGGTTTGCTAGTTATTTGCAAGATCGCACTCAACTGGTAGAGTTGACTAGAAGTGACGGTTCTTGTCGTGTATCTTGCAGTGAGGACGTTCGTAGTGGCGTGCCACAGGGATCGATTTTGGGTCCTCTCCTATTTATACTATATGGCAGAGATGTGATTGAAGTTATACGTCATTGTAAGTACCATATGTACGCGGATGACATACAAGTGTACATATCTTTTGATCCTCAAAATGCAGCTTCTGACACTGTAGGTGAACTTAATGAAGATTTGAATAGGATAGCCATGTGGGCAGAGCAAAATTCATTGGTTTTAAACCCTAATAAATCAAAATATATGGTTTTTGGCTCAAAAAAGCAAATACAGACAGTGGACAGGGTTGGTGTAGTGGTGCGTTTGGGGGCTCAAATAGTTGAAAGAGTATGGAAGGCTCGAAATTTGGGAATTGTAATGGATGCTCAACTTCGCTTTGAAGACCACGTAGCTGAGTTATCAAAGAGTTGTTTCTATAAACTTAAAGTGCTTTACAAAATACGGAATGATTTGAATGAGCAGCTTAGAATAAAATTGTGTGAGGCACTTGTTCTTTCAAAGGTTAACTATTGTCTTCCCGTTTTCGGTCCATGTCTTTTTGAGCGCACCAAAAGGGTTTTACAGCGAATACAGAATGCCTGTGCTAGGTTCTGTTTTACAGTCCCTCCAAGAACACATATCACACCTTTTCTCAATAGGGCCAATTTGTTAAGGATGGAAGCCAGATGTAATTTACATCTTGCGAGTCTGCTATTCGATGTAGTATCTAATAAGGTTCCGGAATATTTGGCAGATAAATTGATTTGGGCTAATTCTAGGTCATACTTGAAGTCTCGAGGTGCCTCTTGGAAACTCGTCTTGCCCCGGCCAAAAAATGCAGCATTTCGTGGTAGCTTTCGGTATTTGGCAACAAAATGTTGGAACAATTTACCACCACCAATTAGACAGGCTAAGTCTAAGTTTGCTTTTAAAACTGGGCTTAAGAAGCATTTCCTTAATTGTCAGTGCAACATAGAAGGCTGTCATATACCGTAACTTATCATCAATGGTTTTGTAAAATTTGTGATATGATTCAAATGGATATTTATAAATTAATTTAATTTGTTATTTTATGTATTATTTTGTTTGTTATTTCGATTGTATTGGACAATTTCTAAATCATAATACACAACACACATTTAGAAAAATTCACTTGGGATATTCTTATGTTCTGCTTTGCACTGCGACGTTTTAACATACTTTAGTCTTATAAATAACAACTCACGCGCAACTATTAGCCTCCGTCTGAAAATCAGCGTCATGACGATAAGAGTTTTGTCGTCGTGATATATGCTGAGCCGGAGACTTTTTCTCCACTGTAGCACAGCTTATTAGCCAATATAGTTTCTTTTTAATGATATCGTTATTGCTTTTGTATAATACTGTGCAACAATGTGGGAAATAAACTTTTTATTATTATTATTAGATGTGGGTCAAATATTTGAGTATGAGCGCGAAGGTACTTCAGTGTAAATGAAACAAAATGTAAATCAAACTAGATGCCGCTACGGTACGTTATTGAGTTCTCCATGACAACCTTTCCGGTTTTCTCTCATGTTTAATAGTAAATTAGTTTTAAAAATAAACAACTCGTATTTTATTGTTACTTTTTCATATTTGTATTGATATCTAAGTTTCGAACTTTTCAATTTTTAATATGTTAGTTAAAAGGAACTCATGTCTGTCTTTGGTCCATTCGTTTCCTGCAAAATTCAACTTTTGCTAGATTCGCCATCTAGTGGAGGTGCTTTTTAGTGCCTTCGTTTTTTTTTAAATAATTCCTTATTTTGTTTGTCCTTATTTTTAAAATATCGGTGTGGTGATATAAACTCTTTTTTATTTTATACCAAAAAGTAGCTTTGACCAAAGGAAACTATGTCTATTCTGTCATCGATTGTCATGTAAAGTTTTTGTTGAATAAAGCCTATTAATTTCTCAGTTTATTTAATAATCTAAAAAGGTTTATTCTACTACAATTTATTCAACAAAACTAAATGCATAAATATCTACGACCAGAAAGATTTGACGGAGATCCGTCCTCTAGTGAAGATCAGTCCCCTCAGTGGACGCATTGGAAAAACACATTTGAAAATTTTTTGACATCCATCTCTACCAAAGAAAAACCACTAGATAAAGAAACGAAATTTCAGCTATTGACAAATCATTTATCTCCTACATTATTTGCATATCTACAAGATTCAACTGACTATGACTCGGCCATCTATCATCTCAACACATTATTCTTGAAGCCATCTAACGAGGTTTACTCCCGATACAAATTAGCCAAACGTTCTCAACAAAGTGGTGAGTCCTTAGATCAATATTTACAAGCTCTGAAACTACTTTCGAAAGATTGCAATTTCAAACAAGTATCTGCTGAGCAAAATAAAAATGAATTTATTAGAGATGCATTCATATCCGGTCTCTCATCGCCCTCAGTCCGTCAGAGACTTTTGGAAAATAGCACACTGACTTTGGACGATGCTTTTAAACAAGCACGTGCTCTAGAGATGGCACGTATACAGAATAATGATTACCAACAACCTAGTACTAGTTTCTCAGTCAACGCAATGTCAAACTTTAATCAAGAACAAGAACTTTGTTATTTTTGTGGAAATAAGAGACACGCACGACGCAACTGCCCTGCTTCCAGCTCAACATGTCTCAAATGCGGAAAAAGAGGACATTTTGCAAAAGTGTGCAAAGGTGGCGCAAAATTTCATCAGAAAGCATTCGCCGCCCAAAATGATACTCATGAAGCTGAGAAAGCAGGATGTTCGCAATCACTTTCGTGTATTATCGCTGCTACAACTGATCTAAGCAAAGCTATAGTATCGATCATGATTAATGGATTATTTACCACTAAAGCATTAATTGACACCGGGAGCACAAGTAGTTTCATTGATAAGCGTCTAGTAGAACAATACAAAATAGCAACTCAACGTTGCGTCCAGCACATCAGCATGGCAGTTTCGAATTTAAAAACAAGAATAGACGCGTCATGTTCAGTCAACATAGATTTACAAGGACATAAATTTGAAGTTAATCTGTTAATAATGGAAAATTTATGCGCAGATGTAATAATTGGACATGATGTTCTTAAGAAATATAAGACA